AAAAACAAACCCAAAAAAAATCCACCAAAACTTTTGTAGTGGACATCTTGTAGTGGAAAATACCTGTTGCATTCCTCCTCCGGCATTTGAACACTATGGGAAGTGGTTGAGTCACCATCCCTGAAGTTTTTGAAAACCATGTAACTGTGGCATTTAGGCACATGGGTCAGTGGTGGACTTGGCAGTGCTGGGTTAGCAGTTAGAATCAATGATCTTAAGGGTCTTTTCCAACCTAAATGGTTCTACGGTTCTGGGATTACTTTGGGGAAAGAATCAGAAATTATACAGGCCACAACAAGCACCACCGTCACAACATGTTGCTTTGAAAGAATTCTGAACTCCTTAAGATTCAACTACCAAATTACAATTAAATCAGCAAAGAAGATCCTACAGTAACCTTAGGCAACATAGCAAGCTATCAGACTTGCTGATTCTACCTGCTACAGGTATCACAAAAAGACTCTTCAACCTCCATATTCAGGCTCAAAGGCATCATCAGATCACTTACTTCAAGCGGAAAAAAAAAAAAAAAGGCACAACAAATTGCCCAATTCACTACTTCAAGAATGTATTTATAATCTCCCCTGTATCTGCAGATGAGATGTCTTTCTAAATTTATAATGTGTTCACTGAAGAGTTACCATGACTCTTCAAAACTATCCTCCAACCATCATTCCTGTTTTATTCCTGCTCCCATACCCCTCCTGCCCCCAGCATTACTCCAAAACACTAAAACTTCTTGCATAAACTAGACAGCATAAAGTACTTCCCAACTAACACTCCCCTGGTCCAGCTGACATGTCATTAGACCACATCCCAACATCATACAGCATGAAAGCCTGCCTTCACTCTTCAGAAAAGACCAAAATAAACACTCAGGACATCAGACTCACCTATGTGATACTCACCCAGATGACTTTGTCTTTAAAGCTAACACTTTGTCCTGGTAATGCACACAGGTATAGGGACCAATGTGGTCATAAAACAGGATAAGTGTGGTCATAAGCTGCTTCTAAGATTTTAATTACTTGCATCCTCAAGCTCGTAACTTATGTCTTCACTACCTGCCATAGAAAACTGGACTTCACCCTTGCTTCCATCACAAATTCAAAAACTATCACAGCCCCTTCAAATTTCCTTTGAAATATTCCTGTAGAAGATAATTTTTCTTGACATCTCAGGCAGTATCAACAATATCACAGGCAATATAAAAACTGATAGCTTATAAACTGCAGCAGAAAACCTACAGATCAATTACGTTGCTTCCAGGTGAAAAGCATTCATTTAAAAAACACAAACACCCACTCCAACATCAGCATATTTCTGTTGATTTTATGGAACATGAAAATTCCTCTCCCTCCACCCTCACCTAAACTATCCAAACCCACAGGCTGAAAGTGACCTGTCTCTCTCTCTCCTCTCGTTGCAAAATAAGGTAGTCATCAACTCCCTTTTATCATTTCAGAGGGGTATCAACCACCTCCTCTCTCGGTAGTTTAAGTGTCACATATCTAATTAAACTCAGATAACTGTTCTCAACTCATTTTACCTTTGATGCTTTCTGTTTCTATCACACACTTGAAGATCGACTAGTGTGGTTAAAAGCCTGCATAGTTTTTACAACTACAGCTTGGTCTAATAAACTGCAAGATCTGTTTCAGCAATGTCCCATGGTCATCATGCCTATAAACAACATGATAATTTAATGCAGACACACCCTATATAGTCTTTCTCACAGATGTCAGTGTGATGTACAGTGAGCAAACAGCCTACGCTTGCATTAAGAGCAGTTTGTGCAGAGTGAAGAGCAACTTCCCTGCTCAAGGGATTCCAAGCAGCTTTTTCTTTCTTCCTACTGGCAAAAATAATTCTGTGAAGATAGTTAACACAAAACCCATTGGCAACTCCCACAATTAATTTCCAAAGATATGGAATGCACTATGTCTACAACCAATACCACTTTCTTACTGAGTTCACAATAATTTCACAAGGGCACAAGGACAGTTAAAACTCTCACACCATATTGTTTCCTCTTTTTCAAATAATTTAATTAATTATCATTTATGAAGATCTTAATATCTTTACTTTAGTGCTTCCATATCAAGAAAATTATTTTGTCTTTGATGAAATTTTCAGAATAATCAAGTGAAATGAAGTCCCAACTTCATTCATAACCACATTCCCTGCTTCCTGTGCCTCCTTCTGTTTCACTACATGAATTATTTTCCACTGAAATTCTCCTGCTTATGTTGACATCTATTTATAGAATTGCATAAGAAAATTTCAGTACTCTCTGACTTTGCTTAGGAACCCTGCAACACCAGTCTGAAAAACATCATGTTCCTCTTCTTCTACCTCTACAATTACCTCTTGGGCTGCAGAAAGTTTGCCTGTCCAAGTGTATCTAGTAAGGTACTAAGACAGCCGGTACACTGGGCACGTAGGGTCCCACATCCAATTCAAGAGGGAGGCTGTTTCCAGCAACTGGAGTTTGGTCCTGAAGCTAGTGCAGAGGCAGTCCTTGACATGGAACATCTTGCACCTGACCACTACTGAGAGATCTGATGCTAAATTACTAAAACATCTATTATTAAATAGGTCCCTTTTTGTTAAGATGTGGGAATTACAGTTGTGTGGCCAAGTACTAGGTAAAGCAGAAAAGTCATCAACAGCTCAGCTCTTCTAAATGTGGGGAAGACAGCATGGACTCTACTTGCCAAGCTTCAAATATCTAGACTGGTCAAGAAGCAGCCTGCAGCTGCTGGACGCAGCTCAGGTCTGAAAGGGCTGTCCCCACTAGCTGGGTAGCCCATCACTCCAGCCAGAAAACAGGTAGTGTCTTTTTAGCTACAATCATCTGGAAGGAAAATCCAGAAATAGCACACGCTATGAGAAATCTGAGCCTAAATCTCTCTGGGCTATTCTACGTGTATCTGCCCTTGGCAGAGGAAACAATCGGAAATTGTCCATTCAGCTCTTACGCTTCTGCTAATTCCGTTACTGAGACAGAATTGCATCCCAGATGTTAGGCTTCTCACTCAACAACTCAGTAAATATGACAGAACCATTGAATCTCAAGGAAACCATTACCTATTTTTTTCCCCACTGTTTTCACAGAGGCACTCTTTATGGCTATCTTTTACAAAAGAATGGGAGCAGGGTAAAATACTTCCCCCACCAGAGCCAGCAGCACTCCATAAATACTTTTTCAGTATATTTTTTCCCTCAATCTGCCTTTTCTAGATGTAACCCTATATCTATAAAGTACCTATAGTTTCTAAATAGTGTAAGTTTCTGCTATAGAAAATTACACTATTCAAGTTTGTGTAGTAAAATTATTACTATATAATGGTTACTATTACTGAGTAGAAACTTACACAACTGAAGATATTTTTTTATCGTATATTGTCTTCCCTTCTCTAAACTACATATATTTATCTCACTTTTTTCCCTCAATTTATCACTTCACCCTTGATTCTTCATGCTTTGCTCATAGTTTGGTAATGTATTTCTGGTAAATTATGCCTTATGACAGGTAGATCACAATATAACACATACTAAGAAAAATGCTCATTATCTCCCCCATCTATCATACAGTATATATGTGTATCACCAAACTATAAAAGGCCTTTTATGGCCTCTCCATGCTGCTTAGCCATTTCAGGGGATTTGTGTTAACTTTCACTTGAACTTACTTGTTTTCTGATTTGATTTTCTTAATTTTTGCCTGTCAACTCTTAGTACAAAAGACAAATTCACAGGGTGTTACTGATTTTATTTAGATCAACTTCTATGGGGTTTTTTTGCTGCTCATAATTGATCATTACAGCAATTCAGTTGCAGAGAGGTTCAACAAATTCTGGTTTTCCTCTAAAACAAATAGAGGATACTAAGTAGGAAGAAAAAACTATATTTTACTATATACGGAAGCAGATGAATAGCACAAAATGAATCTTAATAGTACCCAACACAAAGTACATTTCTTTTCCAAAGTTGATTTTAAACTAACCTTCAGCCCTCTTGTGTTTAAGAGATAAGTTAGTTGATCATTAAGAACTATTTTTGGACTTGTGTGGCCTCAAAGTATATTAAACATTAGAAGTGACAGACTGAGACCTAAGGATGTGTTGCTAATTGTTGTTACACTGTCAATTATAGTGCCAATGCAAATGATCCATGGAAGCCCACTTGTCCCTAGGTTAAAGGAATCTGTTGCTTTATCACTGCCTCCAACTGTAAGGTAACACACACTACATGGAAGTCTGAAAAGAGCAGTGATACAGATGACAGATGGAATTAGTCTTCATCTCTGATCAAGTTACGGATAAAATATCATGTTAGTTACACTAATGTCTTGTAATTAAACAGGTATCAAATGCCCACACAGAGACATTTAAATGCAATCGACTGAAATTAAGAGACATCTCTAAAAATGCAGAGGAAAAAGTCAACTAGGGTATCACAACTTTTGAACATCACAATTTCAAATTCCATAAACCAGTCATATTATTTAGGAGAGCTACTGATTTCATGTCTTTTGTTTGCATTATTCACATCACTGCAACATCTCTTTTAAAAAACACACTAGCATTTACTTGGGTTTGAAAGGCTTCCATTCTGAATACTTGAGAACGCTATGGGATGTGACAAGTTTCTATATTGCTCTCAGTGACTTCTACTGTACAAAGACTAAAATTACAGGGATTACTTGGGATATTATTTGTGCTGCCTCTGGAAATAGTGTCACAGATGTCAATTATGATAAGATCTTTCTCCTGCTTTCTTGCTAGTTGGATTTTGCTATGTGGAGAAATAAACCTAGTGCTATTGTTCTCACCAGCAGGAGAATTTATCAGCAAACCACTAGGCTCCTTCTGCCTCAGGATGTCTGTGCCTGACTTATTTTTGCAATTTTAGACAATGTCTGTGGCTAGCAAGCTGTGAAGAAATGCAAAAGGCAAATTCTATCTAAAAGCATAAAAGAAACTGCTGATACTTACCAAACTATTCCCTGAGCCCCAGAGCCAATAGGTTTCAAATTCTGGTAGCGTTTGAGAACTGTGAAGGTTGAGTCACCTACTTCCACGCTGTAGAACTGGTTGTCTACTTTGCTTTTGCTCATGTTGTAATGTTTGGCAATATATGACACATCCACTTGTTTTCCAAATCCCTGTTGTACAGAAAAAGGGAAGGGGGGAGGAAGTGGAGAAAAAAACAGAAACCAAGGCTAGTAAAACATCAGAATACTGCTAAAACAGTCAGCTTAATTTTCCAACATAAATTCTTGTCATTTTTGGCCCATTGTGATAGATCTACATGAATCCACTAATGCTCTCAAAGATTGTACCAAACCTTTATTCACCCATAAAGTGAAAGAACCACAAAAAGCCACTGATTAAAGAAAGCTATTGAATTCTCTAGCTGATGTTTGTGACATAGTTGCTCTCAGCTACTGGTCTCTGCTTTATGGCTGTTGGCTTATGCATTCATAGTGATTCTGTCCTAATTTGTATTGCAATAAATATCTTATTTTACAGTGAGAAGACTTACATCGGTGTAGAAGGGACAAAAGACATCCTAAGAATTAGACTTTTCATCATTGGTCAGATGGAGCAAATAAGACTATTCACATGAGCGCTAAAACTTCCCCTGAGCTGCAACCTCACTCAAATTGTAGAATTACTGTGCAGAAAGTTACATTATAACTGTTTTATGACTACCACTGAGCTCAGTTCGCTGAAGGCTATGGAGCAAAGTATATAGTAATTTGAGATAAAAATCAGAATTTAGTGTTTGTAATATAGGATTCTATACTACATAATTCTGAGCACAGGATTCGAAAGTTCAACATAATACGTTATCTGTCCTCAAGTAGTTGACAATTCTGTCATGGCAATCAAGACTTTCCCAAGTGCCTTCCATAAGGAGAACCAAAACCCAAACCTGCCTCCCTCTGTCTGTGCATTTATTTTCAGTGCTCACAAACACGGATTCTAAATTTTCTTATTTACTCTATTACAAATTGCATTTCCAAAAAAGTCTGAATAATCAACCATGTTATGTGACTACTAAGTTGAATTTTGATGGAGCAGGAAAAATGTAAAGTTGATGTATAGAGTATTGTTTTTTCAATTTAAAAGGACATCACTCCAGTGCTCCACAAAGCCAGTCAGTTAAAGGCAAATAACTAACCTCGCTGAGAACCTGGATTCTCAGGTTTGCCTCAGGATGATTAATACTCTTTTTTCTGTTCGTTATCACTGGACAGCACTGGTTAACCCTAACCTCCTCATTTAGAGACTTTGAAACACCTTAATAAATGTAGCTGTTCATTCAAACATGGAATCTCATTTCATAAGAGCAATTAGAAACATTACATTAACATGTTAATCATAAGCAGGACAAGGCTCCCCCCCCCCCGCCCCAGACATGAAGAAAGTGAGACATTTATGGATGCTGACACAGTGTAAAATTCAAGCTTATGTAGAATGAAAGGCATTTGAAAAGGTTTGAATTTTTCTCATCTGAAGAAAGACAGATTGAATCTAATCCATACTGTGTAGCCTTAGTCTTAAAACTCCTTCTATTACATAAAGAGAGATGCATAAATTTGGCGAGCTCAGCTATTCATACCAGACCTGGAACTGAGAGGCTTTATTTTAATAATGCGCTCTGAGAGACAGGAAATAATCACAGCTCCCTCTGGCTAGACAAACACATTTGCAGCATGTTTTTTTCTGATGTCATTATCAGAACAATGCAGACAATATTCAGCATTAACACCCATTACTCTGAAACCAATGTTATATAAAGTGTCAGCATAAAAATTGCATTCCTTAGTGAGCCTGACTCATAGCCAGCTCCTCTGGAAGTACAGATACAGCTACTTTTTTAAATAAGCCGCATGACCGTGTTAAGGCTTGGGTGAGCCAGGCCTGCCATAACTTGTTTGCATCCTCACTCCCAAGCTACTCAACAGTTCCTCATGTGGTATGGAGTGACATGGGAAGAGATACTTTGTCCATCTGCATTCAGAATCCTGTGCACAACAAAATTACTTGCCTTAAAATTAGGCTGACCCTGTGAACTTCTAAGCCTCAGGAATCCTGTGCTGCCTATAGTGGGAATTTTGAACTACTGCAGTCTCAGGAGGTGGTTATTTTAAATCCAGGAATGTCTTAGAAAACAATTGAAACAGCTCAGAACCACTACTGTGGAGTACCTCGGTTATATGGATAATTAATAAAAGCAATAGCAATCAAATACCTGGTCAGAACACACAAGTGTCCTGATGAGCAGCTCTCCTCTGCATAACAGACCATTCCTATGACCATCCACTCGTAACTGTTGTGGGTAGGAAAGGTAAAGGCTATTCTAATTTTCATGGAATATTAGTATTTTTAGATTAATATTTTTCTCAAAGACTGTCTACTTAAAAGTCCATAAGCCATAAGGAGCTTTGACAGAAAATATCAACACCAAGAATTACTCATAATGTTGAAGACAAGCAGATTTAGATTGAAGTTGACTCCAAGCAGAATGCCTCCTCTGAGTGACAAACACTTCAGATCTGTGGACTGGCCAAAGAGTCTCCTCTTTTTAAACCCACACTGCTAAAAACTGACAAAACCCCTACTTTGTATATTTTGCTGATTTTTAAAGCCTAAGAAAGCAAAATTAAAATATAGTAAGTCTACTGCTTAAGCCCAAAGTACTGCTTATTTTTATAAGAACCAAGAGATGAATAACTATCCTTGTCATGTCTATAACTTAAATCAAATCCCTAAATCAGTGAATTAACAGTGTTATTAGATTAATCACATTTGATCAGGTGGTCCTCAAACAAAGATGACACATAATCAAATCATGAACTATCTCCAAGTTGCTAGAACAGCCACTTGCTAAATAGGGAAAAGAAAATGACAGTTTTATTTCACTCTAAAATTAAGGTAAAAGAGCTTTTCCCATTAGCAAGGAAATTCATACTCTTAATAGAGCACATCCATGCTAGTTTTACTTTCAAACCCTGATTAAAAGGTTCTTCTCTGTGTCTCTTCAGTCTTCTGAATCCATATTGCTGATCTTAAAAGAAACCTACACACCACATTTTGGTCTGTTACATTCTCAGTGTTCACTCAAATCCCTTCCAGAAGCCTTGGTGTTTGTATAGTAGTTAATATCTTCTTTCCCCACCCCTGTCTACACCACATAAAGTATTTCAGATTCAGGTTTTACTGTATAATGCTTACAAGTATTGCACTGACAGCTTAAGTTAAGGCTTTGATTACCTGACAGCAGAAAGGAACACAGAATTTCCAGAATACACCCTTCTGTATACACACCTAAACCAAAAATTTCTTTCAAATTTGGTTGATACTGACAACTTAAGAAACTGGGAATTACCATATCATTAATAATTAGCTGGTGAAAGGAAGAATGTGTGTGTATATATATGTACACATATATATATAAAAAATGATCAAGTATACTTCTTAGGATATCATAGTAAAGATGTAAAGATGCAAAGGTCTCATATAGAAAAATGAACTTCAGTGAGTTAATACATTTTCAGGTGAACTTCAAATGAATTTGGTTAAGCTACAGTTCTTGGGCCCCAAAGTAATAATAAACATTGCAGGTATAAAACAAAATCAATTTTTTTCATCCTTTTCACTTTGAACTAAACACATCTAGTTTCTCAGACCTCAGTGTGATGTGAAGGATTATTCCTTAGAGACAAAGTATGCACTGGAGTGCCATTTTTTCTTGGTTTCCATGAATATTTGGACAATGTAATTATTTTGCTTCAACACGGAATGGAACTTAACTTTTGTTTCACAAGTAGAAGAACGCACACACCGTGTTTTCTCTGTTCAGTGTCAAACTGAAAACTTCTAACACACATCTAATGCCATTCTCTTTCTGCCATACTGAAAAATTTAAGAGAAGTAACTTTTTCAGACTTGAAAACATACCTCACTTTGTTGGGTCACTTAAATGCACAGCCTTATCTGCCGTGATGTTTGCTTAATATCCCAACAATTGGGGAAGAGGAAAGAAAATGAACTGCCAAGACTCAAGTGTTTGAGATGAAGGAAAAAGATACTCTTACCATTACTAAATGCTTAGAATACATAGATTTTGCTTTCAAAGAACAATTACTTAAAAATTTGGTGAAACCCAAATAACTTGTTGCCTCACACACAACTGTAATTTATATTCTTTCCTTTTTTTGTTTCACAGCATAGAGAAAAAAAGAGGGTTAAAAAGCACAACAGAAACAAAACTATATTGTTTTCTGTATTATGAGGTGAATTGTTTCCTGATATCCCATTTTATTTGTCCATTTCTACCCCATAAAAGAACTATATTTATTCTATCTCACTGATAGACCTTTGCATCTTAACACCATTCCTATTATTGATGAGCATAAAATATCACAGTTTCTTCCAGCTCAAGTATGTCATGCATCCTAGCTTTTATAAACACCAACCATGCTGGTTGGAGCTAAAGCTAAATTGCTCTCCTTTGCATTTCCAAGACAATGAGTGCTGTCACAGAGTTTATGTAGCAGGCACCAGCTGAGGGGAAACTTTACCTCAGTATTAGTATCCTTCTCTGTCTGCACAAAGAAATACCTACAGGAACATATTGACTTTTGAGGGTGCTATGGTTCATAGAACCAGAGAATCAACAAGGCTGGGAAAGACTTAAGATAATCAGTTCCAACCTTTACCCCAGGACTACCAAGTCCGCTACTACATGTCACTAAGGGCCTCACTTTCAAGGCCACTGAAAGCAGTTATATGACTTCACATCTGTGAATGCAGGAGAGGAAAATAATTAGATGGAAGACTGAAAGGCTGACTCCTAATTTGCAGTTGGCACAACACCCAAAGATGAGCAGGATACAAAAGAGTGGATGTTCTGAGCTAGCACTCACAATGGCTCCTCAGGGATCCCCATGTCTTCACCTTATCTCAGACAAAGAGACTGGTATGGAGAACAGCATGTGTCAGAGGTGGATGCCTTTGATTCCCCCAGAATCTTAAAGGATCATATATTAAAGCTACATTTGACCTTAAAAGTCAGATGCTGAGATCATGCAAATTGAAATTCTGAAGCATGGTAAAATCCTCAGTCTTCTTGCTAGCTCCAAAAATGTACATA